CTCAGATGTGATGTATAAATGGTATAAAAGGTTGGTTTACACGTGCACGCACCCGGATTTGTTGGCAAGATTTTGTAAAGTAAACCTGTCGAACGCAAAAAAATTCGGCCTGATTTTTTTTCCAGGCTTAACTAATCTTACGGTGATCAAGAGCCATTATGGCTCCTAAATGTGATGGAAGATGATTGCTATTTTTTTGGTGTACATATGAGGCTATCAACTTGATGTAAGATTTTGTTCACTCTTGGGCTGTTTGCAAATTATTTTCTCTAAAATCACGTAGCCTTTCCCTCAAAAGTCACATGAATGTGCTATGTGCTCTAACGTTAACTGAATTGTGGAATACAAGTTTATTGTTTGATTTAAATTATAAATATATTAATAGGAGCCTCACTTTTAGCCCTGGCTAAATCTATATATTATATTTTTATGCCCATACGCATAACTCGTAATTCCATCCTCGAGTATATACCGTTTGTCATCAAAGCAGCTAAGCGATATTTTATTCAATTGGTAGCTGCCAATCTGGTGACACTCACTCCTAATTGTGTGCATACTGTTTAACATTTGTTTACGATTTAATAAGCAATCTTTGTAATTCTCATGAGTTATATTCTTTTTAATAACATATTTTCTGACACCCTCAGCTGTCTTTTCATTTTTACCATTATCTTTCACATAAGAATACATCTTACTCCTGAGACCAATAAATTCCACAATAGGCATGCCAGCTGCTTCATCTTTAAATTTGCCGATAACTTTTTTATTCTCCACACTAAAGTATGGACTATCTTTGGGGTAATCACTATTGTCAAATAATTGTTTGTCCTCCCAAAGTTCCTTATAAACATCCCTTGTCTCAATCTCATAACAAAGACTGTCTGTATCAGTAAATAATAGTTTAGCCTTATTATTGTACCTACTTTTGATATAATTATAGTGAAAGTCATACATGAGAGTTTTTGATAAATCCAAAATGCAGATACCCACGTAAGCTGGCCGGTCCAGTGTTAGTGTTGCTTTTAGTTTATGAACCACCACAAGGTCCTCATTGAAGATCTTACTATTAACAAACGTCGGCTTGCTCACTAGTTTAGACAACTTCTGATCAGTCACTTGTCTCACGTCAACGCGCTTTCTTATGTTTTCCATGGTTTTCCCAAATACGGAATTATTTAATAATTTGAAAAGGTCCTTCTCAAATGCATTCTTAGCATTCATCCTCTTTTGGGTTTTAAAATTAATGTACTGCGCGAGCCAGGGAGACTGGTCAAATTCTAATACCCTGTATACTTTCTTCAATTTAAGACCAAGAGACAGATAGAGTTGCAAATTTCTGTAGTGTAACACATAATTCTTTTTACTGGATAGTGTTGGAATTAGCTTAGCAACCTGGCCAATACTTATTCCAAACTGCTCATGAATATTTTTGCAATAAGGAGAGAGCATTTCTTTGGTAACTTTCATTTTCTCCGCGGCTAGAGGATAATCATTATGCAGCTCATGTAATTCTTTAGGATATTCCAAATCGACTTCTAAAATAATACCCTTTTTTCTGTCTTCTGTCCAAGCAGCGAGATTAACTTTTTGTATTTGTTTTTGAGTCATCCACCTAAAACCACCTGTTGGTAAATATTGAGACATCGCCCATCCATAAAGGTTATTAGCGTCTAGATACATAATATACTTACGTGGTTTCTCTGAATTATACCCGCTCATATATTTACTATTAGCTTCCCCGTGTCGGTTAGCAATATAAGAAATACCACCACGCAATCCCTTTTCTATGAATTAGAACATATCAACATCCGTCATGAGCTCCAATTTTATACCGGTCATTTTCAACATAGCATCCCAACTCAAGCCGGGAGATGTGAAATAGTGGCAAGGATCTAGTTTATAATACTGATGGCAGGTCTTACGGAAATTCTCAAAAACATCACCTAATAGGAGAATATCAGACTTCAAATACAGATCATGATAATCACCCATTGTCCTCATATTAAAAGTATTCCAGACTTTTTGGGCATGTTGATATTGCTCATCAGAGATACTCTCATCTGTCAGTATACTATAGAATTCCTCTTTTGGAGGTAGTTGCTGATCACCAAACTTTTGAAAACTATCCATGTAATCATAAGGATACACTCCTTTCTGTTTCATCAGTGCTAATTTCTCATCTTGGAATACCTGACTGGTATATTTAAACGTATCGGTGGGTAAATTAGCGGCCAATCTCTCCAAACTGCTGGCCATAAACTGAAAACTATCCAGAAATACTAAGTGTTTACTCAGCATGAAAGCCATATACTTTTCCATATTATTCGGGATACAATTAATGCTTAAATCATTACNATAAGAAATACCACCACGCAATCCCTTTTCTATGAATTAGAACATATCAACATCCGTCATGAGCTCCAATTTTATACCGGTCATTTTCAACATAGCATCCCAACTCAAGCCGGGAGATGTGAAATAGTGGCAAGGATCTAGTTTATAATACTGATGGCAGGTCTTACGGAAATTCTCAAAAACATCACCTAATAGGAGAATATCAGACTTCAAATACAGATCATGATAATCACCCATTGTCCTCATATTAAAAGTATTCCAGACTTTTTGGGCATGTTGATATTGCTCATCAGAGATACTCTCATCTGTCAGTATACTATAGAATTCCTCTTTTGGAGGTAGTTGCTGATCACCAAACTTTTGAAAACTATCCATGTAATCATAAGGATACACTCCTTTCTGTTTCATCAGTGCTAATTTCTCATCTTGGAATACCTGACTGGTATATTTAAACGTATCGGTGGGTAAATTAGCGGCCAATCTCTCCAAACTGCTGGCCATAAACTGAAAACTATCCAGAAATACTAAGTGTTTACTCAGCATGAAAGCCATATACTTTTCCATATTATTCGGGATACAATTAATGCTTAAATCATTACTTTTTCCGATTGATCCAATTTCTTGCATTATAAAATGGGAACCATACCCACGCAGATTATGAAAAATGACTGGCACTTTGAACTCTTTTGGGCTAATCCTAAGCTTCAGATTACAGTCCTGGTGTGCTGATCCCCTGTACTTGTCGGTAATGTGACAATGATCCCTAACTCTTACTTCAGTATCTAAATATTTCCCCCCACAGATGTGGCATTCCTCGGCAGCCTTAAATAATTCTTCCTCCTCGTCCGTCATCTGGAGTGGCTTTTGGAACTCAGTAGCAATCATTTTTTGACAATAGTCTACTTCTGAGAGCATATCCAACATGAAATGGCTAATAGAATTCTCCCCTCGATAAATTTTCACTGGTTTTGAATATTTGTCATCATAACAACATACCAATTTGTAACCATAACTACAGCCAGTGTGCTTTTGGTACTTATCAGTATAAGATAATTTTTTTATATTGAACGGAATGAACATAGCTGCACTGAATTGAATAAATAAAATAACAACAAATTTATTAAAAGGAGGACTTAATCTACTATTAAATTATTATTTGGCTTGCCAAAGCAGTTGCAAAACTCAATGAAAAAATGCAAGCCAGTCCATGGAAGACGATCATCAAAAATCAACATTGATACCCTCAGTGAAACTGAACCAGCTGAACCAATCACTCGTCATATTGAATGCAGAAAATAAAATAGGCCACTTAACATAAACTGCTGCTTCTAAGCTCTCACAGTTATAAGCCCCCACCCCACCCCCTCCTTCCAGTCATAGGCCCACATCTCTGTAAACAAAAAAATAAATATACATCTGATTATAAGCTTCCCTGGATATGAGTCCCCCTTCAAATGTGTTGAAATGAATTCGATTTATCATGACGTTTTGAGGCTTGATGAAAAACCAGTAAATACAGTAAAAAGTATTTTGATCAGCACTGCTATACCTGTTACTTTTTCCAAAGCTCTTTTTTCTATTCTAGTTATAAGGCCCTCGGATTAACTCCTCCTTTTTCAAAGATGTGTAGGCCCAGGGCTTATAAGCTGCAGTTTACGGGATTTCAATGTCATTTAACACTAATGATACTATGCGTTAAAATATATGTAAACTTTATCTATAAGGCCCACCTCAAATGTCAATCCTTTCATGTACCTGACCTAATCCCTCTTAATAAGTACATGAAGACAGCAACGTTTGAATCAATTAGGTGCGACATATCTAATTTGGGTCGACCCATGAATTAAGATCGAGTAGCCTGCATAGGAATTTTGACTGTGGAGCAACTTTGTTTCAAACATCGAACATCCCATGTGCCAAACCTAGTGCATAAATTACTAAAATTTATTTTTACTTGTAAGCATTTAGATTGTCAGTTCGACGACTGAATTAACCATCGAACTTCTTTCACTTGGGTCGACCTAAATAGGTATTAAGTTCAAGGCCCGCGCAGGGGGTGGGGGTTAGCCCCCTACTTTTTCAGATGGAAAAATAAATCTGTCACTTACCACACAAACAAGGTTTAGTAATCTGACAATACTCAACATCCACAAACAGAGAACAGACAAACTTTGTCTTGCAGCTGTTGCCAACGAGTTTGTAGCTCATCTAAATGACAATCGGAAAGGTAACTTTGGCACCTTCAGAGAATCCGACTAAAAAATGTACAGGTGACACTCAACCTTTGCATGTGTTGGGTTTAGCTTCAAAGTCTATTCATCTAAATGTTGGTCTAACGTGGAGGCCAGGTTTTAACTTATTGTTTTAAGTGCTGATGTAATAATTACAAATTTATATTACTATTGGCAGTTTTAGATGCATTTGTAGCCACTTCAGAAGACTTAAATGTCCCTCCGCCCCCCCCCCCCCCCCCCCCCCCCTTCTCACCCCCTCCCCCCTCCCCTCC